AAAAGAATTCAAAAGGAACAATTCAAAAAGAATGGGGCAGAATTCTCGCGCGATGTCCGTGCCCCAAAGTCCAAAACCGAAACAAAGAAAGCGACGCCAACATTTATTATTCGCGCGCACGACGGCGCGCCACTCATACAACCAATCAACCAATCGATCGTCCTGGGGGCCAACTGGGCCTGAACCAGCCATTCGAAAGGAACTGACGCAAAAAGACGAAGAAGCGAGGACACCGATGCAATTTCCCATTTATCCCAATCTCCCGTAATTGGCCCAACTTTCCCAGCTTAGGACCCCTTATCGCAATCGCGCAGAAAATCGCGCACCGCAGAAAGTGGTTCGTCACATGACATAGGCCTCTATGGCCCTGTTCATAAAAATAAAATAAAAAAATAAAAAAATAAATAAAAAATTGGGGGGGGGTTGTTTTTTCATATGTGACAAAAAAATTTTAATAAATAGAAAAAAAAAAAATTTGGTTGATTGATAGTTTTTTGGGGTAACTAGGGCACAGTCACGAAAGCGGTTTGTAAATACATTTCAAACCGCCTTTTTGGAGTCTAGTACCATCCCAAGTTTCAAATGCAGTCGAAACACTTCACACGCATAAAGGTCGCAAGGCCGAGTTTGCAACTGCAGTCCAGTCCGGCATGTGGCCTCCTCCTGATTTTTTTCTGTTTTTTTTTTGTTTAATCTCGGACGTGGCTGAGGCATCGCGGCAGTGGCCCAACGACGCTATTAGATGCTCTCTCTCTCTTTTTTTTTTTCCCCCCCCTTACCTCGGATGTGGCCGATGCATCGCGGTCGTGGCCGAGCGACGCGATGAGCTGCTCTCTCTCTCTGTTTTTTTTTTTCTTTTTTTTCTTTTATACTGCGGATGTGGCCGACGCATCTCGGTCGTGGCCAGCCACGCGACGGGGCCTAGATTTATATTTAAAAAAAAAAGAATAGAGGGCCTTGCTCCACTATTCTTGGCATGCACAAAAGACACGAAGCATGGCGCTGTATCGTAAAGTTTCCATGTTCTACAAGAAGATTCACTCTCGTTTTGCACATTTCGAGAGTAATGGAGCCTGGAAAAACGAGAGTGAATCTTCCACTAGAACGTGGTTTTGCACATTTCGAGAGTAGCGGAGCCAGGCAAAACAAGAGTGAATCTTCCTCTAGAGCATGGAAAGATGCACCACCACGAGGCCCTGAGGATGATAGGCATACGTAGGGAAACCTGAGAATGGGAAAAAAAGAGAAAAAAACGTGTCTCCCCTAGGGCCTCTGCGTTGTTGTCAGCCCGTGTATCCCGCTGGGCCCCTGTATTCCCGTTGCACAAAAGACAAAGATCGTGGAGCTGTATCTTTCCATGTTCTAAGCCAAGATTTACTCTCGTTTTGCACATTTGTAGATCAATTGTGGAAATGGAGAGTGAATCTTTTTGTAGAACATGGAAAGATACAACGCCACCATCTCTTTTATTTCCTTCTTGTTTCTTCTTTTCTTTTTTGGAAAACAGCCCGGGCCTCCGACGTGGATGACCAGACTGCAGTTACAAACTCTGCCCTGCGACAGCCACGCGATAGCGGAGTTTGGCCTGCAGTGTAAACTTCGGGGGGGACTGGACTCCAAAACGGGAGTTTGAAATGTATTTTTAAACTCTAACCCTGACCACGCCCCGTGACGAACCACTTTCTGCGGTGCACGATTTTCTGTGCGATTGCAAAAAGGGGTCCTAAGCTGGGAAGGTTGGGCCAATTACGGGAGATTGGGATGGATTGGAAATTGCATCGGTGTCATCGCTTCTTCGTCTTTTTGCGTCGGTTCCTTTCGGATGGCTGGTTCAGGCCCGGGTGGGCCCCGGGACGATCGATTGGTTGATTGGCTGTATGAGTTCCGCGTCGTCGTGCGCGCGAATAATAAATGTTGGCGTCACTTTCTTTGTTTCAGTTTTGGACTTTTGGGCATGGACATCACGCGGGAATTCTGCCCCGTTCTTTTTGAATTATTCGTTTTGAATTCTCTTTCAAATCTTGTTGAGCGCTAATGGCCCTCGGAATTTCGAACTTTCCTTTCGAAGTTTGTGCTTTTTGCTTTTCCGCACCAGATAGGAATTTTGGAATTTTGTAATTAGGATTTTCTTTTGCCGCGCAATGCTTTTTGCTTACGTGCTTCTTTGTGCGGCTGCAACGGAACTCTGGTTAGTCGGCGCCTTTAGTCGTGTGTGCAACTGTAATTTTTGGCGGGCGCCATTTTAACTCTATCCCTTCATCTTGTACTTCATCTTTCCCGCTCTCGCTTTCTCTTGTTGTGTCTAGCAAGGCCGCGGACTGCATGCTCGGATCGATGCGTGGAGAGAGGTTACGTCCCCCACGCCACAGCCCGGCCATGCAGAACGCAGGCGCTCCCTCTCCTAATCCTCTTTTTAAGTCCTTGTAATTCCGTGTTCTTCGTGCATGCATGCATGCATGCACGCTGTAAATCCCGGCTGCGCGATTAGTTAGCTCTCTTAACTAGTTGTTGGAAGCTCGGGGTAGCGCGATCAGTGAGGATCGGCTCACGAGCGAGGTAAGAAGTAAGTTGAAGTGGGAATCGGGCGACCCGACGAGCTGGTGTCGAACGCGCGGGGTTGACGGAGGCCACGACGGACTGTGGGCGCGGGCGAACCTGACGGGTGCGGGAGGATTAAGCGGGGTGACGACTTCGTGGGTTGGTGTGCGACAACGGACTGTCCGCATCGGAGAGAGAGAGAGAGGAAGAGGGAGCTGAGGTTGATGGACGTGGATTTGCAGATTTCTTTGTCTTTTCTCCCTCTTTGCCTTTGTACATACATTTTGATCTCGGGGGCGATTTGCCCGTTTTTGTTTTCGGAATCTTGGCCTGATTTTCTCACCCACACTCGTTTTTGCGATTTTAATCCCGGATATTGTGTATGCTATGTCGAATGAAAGAATGAATGGGTGTTATATCTGTTGTTTTTCCTTATGCCTGAACTTTGCCCTCGCTTGTCGTTTTGATATACTCATGAGCATAGTAGGAAAGATCGAGTAACCCGCATCATTGTTGTTTGTCCTTTTTGATCTTCTGCTTTACTGTGAATGCGTAGTAGCACCTTGCATACTTTGAAACGATTGCGTGCGCGTCATGGGATGATTAAATGATCGGGTAGCTGTACACCCAGAAACCAGTGAACGCCTCGCGGGGCCGCACGTAAGTCGATTCGTAACCACCGGAAAGGACTAACGATAGCAGGAATATTGATTGATGGGATGTGTTCGGTGGCCATTTTGCGCTTGCAACGAAGCGATCATCCCGTGTGAACACGTGTAAGTGCGCGCAGTCTACACGTACTCACACGAGGTAATCGCAATCGTCGAATAATGGGACTGGCACGAAAATTCTGAACACTGAGCTCATAAATTCCCCAACCAGGTAGTCCCGTACTAAGGAATTTTGCGGCTTCAGAATGACAAGATGACGAACTCAAGGAGCTCTAATTCATCGTGGGACCCGGAATACTTCACCCCTCGGATAGAAGAGTGCCTCCAACAGAGGTTCCCCTGCCTAACTGAGAATCGACTGTGTCCTAGGGAGTTCCACTGTGCCAAAACCAGCGATCCACGGTGCTCTGATTTCCCCACTTCAGACCACACCATCTACTTTATTTCCCCCGGTTTTGTCGTTATCTCTACTAACTTCCCTCCCTTCCGTCTTCTTCTCTCGTATCATCAACTCAGAGTTGTCCCGTGGAACGCCATAGCCCCATACTGGCCCCGCACGCCCTGTGGAAATTGTCGGCGATGCGGCAACCAGAGAGGCCCGGGAACCCGAGGGCCTTACCCGAACGTACGACGATCGGCACCACGTGGCGACATCCGGCGTTCTGACTCATCAGAACCACACCCACCCCGGAGGGACCTTTCGACGAGCCACCATTATCAAAACAGACGGATCGAACGACCTTGAATGACCCGCGCATGCCATCTGCCTTATGACCAGAAGCAGTCCGCCCACTCCACCAAATTGCAGCCGTGCCCGCGAAAAACTCTGCCACAGGAGATTTCAGTTCTGACCTGGGACTCCACCCCCACTTTCCAAAAAATCCTTGGCACACCCCTTTTCGCGCTTCCAAGCCCACATCCTACTCTGATCAGGAAGTCACGTTGGGCATGAGGTTGGGCGTCACAGCCCTACTTTTCTCTTCTTTTAAATAAGATTGGGGTAACTAGGGCGGAGTCACGAAAGCAGTTCCTAAAAGCGTTTCCAACAGTTGTTTTTAATTCCTGTTCCGTGCGGAGTTTGCTATGCAGTCTAAACTCCGGCGTAGTCAGAAAAGTCGTAGCACGGAGTTTGGAACTGCAGCTCAGTCAGGCAGGTGGCCTCAGTCAGGGCCCGTCTATCCACGAACAGGAGATAGTAGAAAAAAAGAAAAAGAAAAAGGATCCCTTATGCTATGATTGTGGTCTGATACAGGATGTTGGGGCTCATTCGACACTCCTCGGGCCGTCCTCGGGGCCGAAGGAAGTTATCCATTCGGTGCCTGAAGAAATTTGGGCCGTTGTTCCACTCATCCTTGGAATTGTTCCCCGAGGACGATTCCTCGGGGCCTTCCGCGACCACTTTCATATATCGACAAGCGGACGCGGAGGGGGGGGGAGAAGGTTGGTCCAGCAAGGTGTGTCCATGCCAGCATCGTTGGTCCAGCTCGGGCGGGCGTTGCGAATTCGAAAGTTGGCGGCGAAAAAAAAAAAGGCACGAAAAAGACGTGCAGGCCCGGGTTCGAAATTCGAAATTCAAATTTCCGCAAACGACAGGCCAGTACCGTGTGCGTCCCTTGCGGCTGACGACAGCAAAGTTCCTCGGCGGAAGCGTTTGGGTATGGGGTGGCGGGTGTGTGTCGGTGGGCACGCTGAACGTACATGTACGCGTCCGAAGCAGCAGACACGCCGTCACACGATCGCCGTTGTTGTCGTTTTCGCAGCCGAGCTTGATCGTCGACGTGTACGCTGTGCACTCGGGTCATCACTCGCAACAACGTTGTTGTGCGGCCCGCCACACGTGGAGTCTTCTGCACTTGGCGACGCCCAAGTCGGCAGTACCAGTTTCGGCGATGGCCACGAACGGGGGGACGGGATGTGACACACCGAGCAAGGCGGAGAGGACGACGGTGGCAGCGGCCGTGAACGCCATCCTCTTCCAGTGTCAATTGCAGAGGGGCGAGGGGAGGATGAGAGCGGCCATTTGCGCACGGTGGAAGAGGACGCTTTGCGACGCCGTGCTGCAGGTGTGCTATGCCATGGGGTGTGGAGCATTACCCAGAGCGACGCCCAGGTGGTGGATGAAGCGACGGACAGGAGGGACGTGGGAGGATCTTCGGCAATGCGACGACGCTTTGGCGGACTACTTCAAGGACAAGCTGCACATGTCGCCACGTATGTTCCGAGAGATCACGGAAGCTTTGTTTCCCTTCCTTGAACGGCGTGTCACTTTCTATAGGGAGCCGCTCCAGCCTGACCTCATTGTCGCGTACGCTTTGTATAGGTGGGCGTTGGGGGAGACGTACGAGAGCGGGGCATGCAGCTTCGGCATTGGCAGATCTTCCGGGTTGGTGGTTGTGCGGGATGTAACAGCGGCGTTGTTGAGTGCGTACCCCGACAACATATCCTGGCCTACGAGTCTGCAGAAGGCGGTCGCCTTGCACGCTTTCGCTGACAAGGGTTTCCCTAACTGCCATGGGTGCATCGACTGCACCCACATCTTCATCGACAAGCCAGTGAATTGCCCTTGGGAGGACTACTACGATAGAAAACGCCGTTTCTCCGTCCAGGCGCATGTCGTCATCGATTTGAACTTGTGCATGCTGGATGTGTTCGTCGGTTATCCGGGAAGTTGCCACTACGTGAGGATCGTCCACCTGTCCAGTTTATGGGCACGCGCGGAGGCAGGGGAACTTTTCACTGGGCCACGCTTCATGCTGCCTTTCGTTGTGTGGACGAACGGCTATTTGCTGGGGGACAACGGTTATCCGCCCTCCAAATGGGTAGTCTTCCCCTACAGGGGTCTCTCACAAACCCCGTCGGAGTTGCGCTTCGACAACAAGCAGAAGACGGCGAGGAGAGTAGTTGAGAGGGCTTTCGGCAGACTGAAGGGGATGTGGAGGTTGTTCCTTCGCTCCATCAAGAAGAACATGGAGACGTTGCCGCAGCAGTTCGTCGCAGTCTGCATTCTGCACAACATACTCATCGACGTGGGCATCCCATTCAACCACAATCTAGTGTGGGAGGTCGGCCTGGACGGTGTGCGTCGCATGGTGGATCTTGGGATGGAGCGTCCCTTGAGGTTGAGGCCGATGTGTATGTAGTTTCCGATAGGGGATGCGCTCATTCTACGAGACGCACTGGCGGAGCGAATGGGTGCGCAGTGAACAGGGACAGGCGTGCGGAGCGGTCGACTGCGATGACGTGGTTGTGGCGAGAAATCATTGCGGGCGACGCGGGGAGCAGGCGAGAAATCGTAGAGGACGTCGGGACGATGCAAGAGGCGTCTTGTCCTAGAAGGGGTGGTCGTTTGACTTGGTGTCGTTATGTGTGCAGGCCGTTTAACGACATTGGCGAGTTGAAGCAATGGTGCGTGTTTTGCCGTGGGTTGTCTTGCAGGGGCGGCGTGTGCCGTCAGTTGTTAATCGTTTTGTTTCGCACTGCGCGCCCTTGACGAGGATGTGCGTGCCAGGGGTTGATGGCGATGGTGCAGTCCAGCGCGAGGTCGGCAGGGGTGACGTGGCGCGCATGTACGTGCCGATCGTAGTTGTCGTGTGGTGTGGTGTCACCACGTGTGACGTACTGGAGTCTTCATCGTGTGTTCTGTTTTCCTGAACTTTGGATTGAAGTTGCCTTCTAGGCATTTATTTTTTGCAGCGTGTATCTTCAACCACTGTTTTTTTTTGTACGAGACACAACAATGTAGTTTGTTACATATCATGTAGAGTATGAATGTTGAGTGCCTTGTCTTCTTCTTTGTGGACGAATGAAAAGCATATAATTGCATCACGTTGTCGTGTGTTATTTGTACTGCCATCTCTGCTTCCAACATGTGCAATGCCGTGTGTGAACATCCCTCACTTTGTCATCAACCATCAGTTCAAGCAAGCATCCTCGACCCCGTTGTACACCTTACCATATCTGTCGTGAACGCAAACGAAAGCGGAACAAAACAGGAAGCGACAACACGACGTATACTTTAACAATATAAATCAACACAATTACATGTTCGCTTTCACAGATGCGAACATCGATTTGGTATGTTTGAAAAATATAATAAACATTTAGAGAAACGAAAGGTTCATGCAAAACCCCTACGACAACCGATCCGCAATCCTCTCCCAGTAACCTCCAAGGCTTATGTGCACTCCGGCATGGCGATTGGTGACCCGTCTTCGACCAAATGAAGGCAGAGAAGCACCGCGCGAAAGAAAACAACAAGTGCGACGAACACGCACATGCAGGACGCCCCCAAAACTCGCCCATCCCCCCTCCCATCCCACATCACCGTCTGAATAGGAAATGCGACAACCCCGCCCTGCGATGGCGACATCGAGGAAGACACAGCGCCATGAACGCGTCATCACCCTCCACCACTCCCTTCGTCGTCGGCTTTGTCGTTGTCGATGTCTTCCGGGGGTCTGTGCCCAACCAATCGAGCTTCTTTGCCTCCATGGGGGAAGACAACGTGGCGTCATGTGAGAACTTGACGCCGATCGACGCCCTGTCAGGGATGTACAATGGAGGCGCTACCAAAGTCATGGGGGGTTTCGCAAACTTGTCCGTTAAGGCGGTCGCAGCTTGCACGATGTGGCGACGAGCGTCGAATGAGCGATGCATGGATGCGATGAGCGTCGGTTTTGTCGTCAGTTAGACGGATACCCACACGTCGTAATGCGTGCCATGATCGTCCCCGCTCATCCGCATGAGCCACATGGTCGCCGCAAGCATGATCCTCATCGCTTCGGCAATGCTCTTCAACCTTTCATGCGACACTCGACCACCATCGATCCCCTCCGCCGTGTTGACGGCGCTCGTGAACGCCCCCACCAGTCGCTGGATGCTCGCCTCCTGATACGCCGCCAACTCGTCGTTCTTGTGCCTGTCCTTGATGTTGGCGCCGACGAACCAGAGTGGCAACTTCATGTCCATGTCCAGCGTGATGTGGAACACGATGGGGCTCACACATACACGCCAGTCCTCCCCCATCCAGGTCGCGCGAGCAATGTCAACTTCCACGTGGTTCAACACGTACCCGTACGTAGTGTGGTACCCCCGTTGCCTGCTCGTTGACTTGAAGACCCACCCGTGGATCACCCGCAAAGCGATGGTCTGCACCTTCAACGCCCTCTCCTGCACAGCGTTCAACTCTGATTTGTCATCGATTTTGTGCTGCGGGATGGTGGTATGAGGCAAGACGATGCTTCGATGAACTGCTGGAGGCTGCACTCCCCGCGCCACCGCAACAAGATACAGGCGCGCTTCCTACATCAACTTCACAATAGCGTTCCCTTCCTTTTCGTTCCAGAAGCGGATGTCATCCACCCACAGTTTCGACGCCGCCTCCATTCCATCCTGCGCACTCCGCTGACGCACCCTGTTCACCAGCGCTTCGTCGTCCTCACCCGCTGCTGCGGCTCCGCCTGCCCTTGCCCCTTCCCCTGCATGAGAAGCCCCACCCGCTACGGCCCCGCCTGCCCTCGCCTCTTCCCCCACGTGCGCAGCCCCCCCTGATGCGGCCCCGCGCAGCCCCCCCTGATGCAGCCCCCCACCCGCTGCGAAGGAGAGAGGTTGTTGTTCCCCTGACCGACGGCTTGCGCGTTCGCGCCAACGTCTGTGCCCGTCGTCGCCCGCGGGGTTCTTGGTGTTCGCGCGCGGACGACAACCTCTTGCGCGACCGGGGCTTCGTTCACACGTGGCACTGGCGCGCGATGTTGGTGTGTGGCGACAGTTCCCCCTCCTCACCTGGATGCCGCAGCGGCATTGACGTCGATGACGTCTTCCATTACTGCGCGGCCTCCTCCGCCTCGTCTTTCGCCAACGTACTCGATCCGGAGGGCTCCACTTCCCCTCCTCGATGACTTCCGTTTCAATGACACTTCCTCCTCTTCCTCGAAGTCGGTTTCCACCTGCGACGCCACCCCCTCCACCACCCAGTCTTCATCCTCCTCGTTTCTTGCAAATGAGGAGCCGCCTTGAACGACCTTCCTATGCTTGTCGACAACATGGCGGCCCTTTTTCTCCCGCACAGCCGCCTCAACTGCCTGTTTCCCGGCGGGCTTGCCGCATCCAGAACCGCGGGACGACATGACGCGCGACAGACCCACTTCGAGCTTGACCACCCCACCGAGTCAAGATCTCCGCGTCGAAGCTGAAACGTGTTGCGCAAATCGGATCGTTGTCTCCAGCGCGATGATCAATAAGACGATGATGTCATTGCTGTCGTCGACGGTGCAGAAGATGTTGTCGACGACGGCCCCTATCGGCAACAAAGATGACGACGGTGACAGCGGGAAAGACGACGAATGTGACGATGGTGGCGACGACGAATAATCACAGGTGCGTACTCCACGGTGGAATAAACCAGCGATGAGGTTCAAATGTCCCGCGGCGGTGTCCGTGACGACGATGGTGGATTGCCCCGTGGACGTAGCAAGGCCACGACCACGCTTGCGGCGACGAACGTGACGACGACGAGAAAGACGATGGAGGTGGCGAGGAAGACGATGTCGACATCGAGCACTGCCAGATAAACTGGCGACGACCCGCCTTCCTGGCGCGCGCACATCACAACGAACCTGCCGGAAGGCGCGGATCAACGACGACGGCAAAGCGCAGCGTGCGACTAAGTTCGTGCCGCGGAGATGAACAACCGGGGAGAGAAAGGCATGACCAGATGAGGGCGACACAACGAAAAGGCTGACGTGTGTACCATGGTGCGCGCGTTTGGAGCCCAATCGTGCATTTGGCGAGGACGGCCTCATCCTTATAAACACGCGGTCCTGCTTGGTGCGCGGCGACGAGCGAGCAGTTCGCACGAGTGTTAAACGAAAACTCCATCGCCCTGTCGTCGAAACAGTCATGTCGTGGGGCTCATTGCTGACAGTGAAATGAAAGGCGAAAGGTCACGGGGTACACTGCCACAGGCCAGTGACCCCACCACCCATCTTCTCGCCACCCTTCGTCAATGTCGCCGATGAAGGACCCCCGCCCACGACCACCACCGCCCCCATAACAGTCGCCATCCACGTCCCCCGACGAAAATACGCACGCACCATGAAAGTGCGACGGCACGAAACTCACCTGCCCCCCCCAAAGAACCCCGGCACCACCCCCGACAACCATAGCGCACATATCTTGGGGTGGTGGGGGTTGGTGGGGGAGGGGTTGGTTTGCTGGGGGGGGAGGGATATGGTTTGGAGGGAGACGTGTTAAGGACGCCCCCCT